TCAGAAATTTCACGTAGCTAGGCATCTGGAACAGTGCATCAGCTAGTGGGATGTTGATATGGAACTTTTTGAAGATTTCTAGAAATTTTTTGTATTGTTGCTCCACTTTCTGCTTCTTCAAGCACTGTGGAAAGGGAATCGGAGGTTCGTAGAGGTTGACTGTGACTTTGGCCTTATCTTGTGATTCTTCTGAATTTTTCTTTGAACTTGATTCCTTTACAACAGTCTCTTCTTCAGCGGAAGAAGATGTTTCTCTAATCACCCCCGGTCTCTTGACATGGAATTCAGGTAATTGCACTCCACTTTGAGTTGTAATGGCCTTGGCTTGCTCTTTAGGATTGATTTCTGTATTACTTGGTAAGTTACCTGGTGTTCTGCCAGTCAATGCGATGGCTAGCTGCCCCATCTGAGTTTCCAAATTTTTGATGGCTGCATTTTGATTTTGAAGTGTAGCTTCGGCCTTCTCCATGAATTTTCCTATCATATCTTCCAATTGAGGCCTCTTCTCCTGTTGTTGAAATTGCCCCTGTGGCTTATTCTGATTCTGGTTGCTCCAAGAGAAGTTGGGATGTTTCTTCCAGCTGGGATTGAAAGTCTCGCCATATTGATTATGCTACTGGAGTTGTCCCCACTGTGTGTAATCTACTTGCTCAATTCCTTGCATGAGTAGAGGGCAATCTGATGTTTTGTGCTCGGCTTCACATTCCTCACAATTGCTCTTCTTAGCTTGTGATGCTTGTGATATGCTTTCCACCTTGTGATACAGAGAATCAATTTTTGCAGAGATTGCTGAATAAGCGTCCACCTCGTAGACACCTGGAGTTTTCTTTGGAATCGCTCTCTCAGAAGACCACATGGCTGATGTGGTAGCCATTCGCTCAAATAATTCCAATGCCCCGTCAACTGTTCTTGTGGATATTGAGCCATCTGATGCTGAATCTACCATGCTCTTATGGTATAGAAGTAATCCTGTGTAGAAGAATCGAATCTGGGTCTTTTTATCGAACCCATGCTGAGGGCATTTCCGGAGCATGTTTTTAAATCTGTTCCATGCTTCATCAAATGATTCAGTCTCTCCTTGATTGAATACTGATATATCATGTCTCAGCTTTGCTATCTTGGCTGGGGAAAAGAACTTTGTGCAGAACTTGTATGCCAAATCATTCTATGTAGTGATACTTGCAACCGGGAGTGAATCCAACCATTCAAGTGCTCTGTCTCATAACGTATGTGAAAAAAGCCTCAACCTAATAGCGTCATCCGAAATCCCTTGGTATCTGAAATGTTGACACATATCTAGAAATCGAGATACATGTGTGTGTGGGTTCTCCTCAGCCTTGCCATAAAATTGGTGTTCATTTTGAAACAGCTGTATCACATTGGTCTTCAACTGAAAATGAGGTTGCCCAAACGGTGGATACACTATGCTGGACTGGCTTTGAATCACTTGAGGAGTCAAGAAATCCTCCAGAATCTCATTTCCCTTGTCCATTGCCTCTCCTTCGTTAGCATGAATCATGGAAATTGTTTAATTCGTTGGCCATTTGTACTTGTGCTTCGCGGTGATATCTTTGTCGTCGATGAAAGGTGTGCTCAATTTCAGGATCAGCTGGAATCAATTCTCCTCCAGGCAATCGTGACATGCAAATCTGATAATTAAAACCAGTACGAGCACTGAGATTCAAACAATTTAATTAACTAAAACACAAATAAAGGATAATAAACTAAAATAAAAATAAAAATAAAAACAAAATTATGCTAGTAAAATAAAAAAATTGAGTTCGAATTAGTGCCTCAAGAAATAAAATTAAACTAAACTCAATCCCCGGCAACGGTGCCAAAAACTTGTTCGCGAAATATTTCTTTCGATTTAAATTACCGCAAGTGTACGGGTCGTGACAAGTAATAAAGTGGACTTTAGAAGTCCGAGTATCGTCCCACAAAGAAAGAGTAGTTCAATTTTATTTATTTTAGCCTTAATCGAAACTAATTGACTTAAGATGAATTTTAGAATTAAAAGCCCTAATTTTGGGAGAAATCCCCAAATTGAAAAACTCTACTTTCAAATCAAACCCTAATTACTCAAATTCACTTAACGAATGACTCAATTACGAAATGTTATGAAAATAAATGAAATGTATTGTCAATTTATGAAAATCTATGTAAAATGAATGCACTAGGATCACGAATCCCCAAATAATTATTAAGTAAACCCTAATTTCTCAATTTTGATAATCCAATGAGAATTTGACAAATCAGTGCTCCTAAATCTATTCAATATTCTCTCTCGAGATGTATTGAACCTATTCTCATAAATTACCAGCCTATATTTCTATGACGGATGCAATTATATAAGAACGCATGTAATTTTTTATGAGCAATTAAAGATTTGCATAGAGCATAGGGGTATATTTCTATCCTCTATCGGACCCTATGATAAGTTATATATGTCGAGTTTAATCCAATTTTCTCAAATTCAGAATTAAACCACCAAAATTTACACAAATTAAGTGCACATTAATTGTGGAAATAAATAAAACAATATAATTCATTCAAATAATCCCATCGAACTATGAATTCAAAGTCATGAAATAAAAGGTTTAATAATAATTACATGGTTCATTAGCCTATCATGATAAAAATAACGAAATCTATCAAGTTTTGAATAAAATACATCACCGAGTTATCAAAATTTGAAGAAATCTTGTAAATCTTTGCGTCAATCCTTGTTTGTGCCTTCAAATCCTCTCCAAAATGAATGTTTTTGCCTCACAATTCATTGCTTGCGGCTTCTGGACGTTTATTTGCTATTTAAACCCGTCGAAATTAGGTTACCAAAGGAGTTGCAATCATATAAGGAAACTGCAAAAATTGGGCACAGGCTATACCTATGCGATCGCATAGGTATATGAAATATGGCGTTTTTAATCCCTGGAGGGTTACTCGCGACCGCATAGGTTTTCTACTATGCGACCGCATAGTAGAGTGAACTTCTAAATTGAGTCATTTTGATCCTCAAGTTTCATTCCTTCACTCATTGACCTCCTCTCTTGTTTCTAGTTACTCCAATGTTCTATTATAACTTCCAATTGGTGCTTAGCTTGATCAATTGCTTGATGTGTTCATCGGATCAACTTTCAGATAATTGCAATTTGGTCCCTGAATTTTCATTTTGCTCCAATTTGGTCCTTTTTCGGCTCTTTTCTCCTGAATTCCACTATTTCTATAGAATCACCTACATTGCATGAATTCGACAAATTTAAGTAACAATTCAATCATTTTACTTGTATTTAAGTCATATTTGTGATGTAAATAAGTGTGCAAAAACACACTTATCATCTGTACAAGACTAGATATTGCTCATGTAGTATAAATTGTGAGTAGATTCAAAACCAATCCAGGAAAATAGCATTGGAAAGCAGTGAAATGGATACTGAGATATCTACAAAGTACTATCGATAAATGTTTGTGTTTTGAAAGAGGCAAGCTGACACTACAAGGTTTTGTAGACGTAGATTTTGCTAGCGAGGTCGACACAAAAAAGCACCATCGGTTATGTATTCATAGCTTGTAAGACTACGGTGATTTGAGTTTTGGAAAAATAGAATATTGTTGCTTTATCCATTACAGAAGCAAAGTACGTGGCAGTAACCGAAGCTAGCAAATAGATGATTTGGTTACAAGGTCTATTGATAAATTAAAATTGGGTTTCAAGCACCTGAAGAACGTTTTGCACAATGATAGTGAGAGTGCTAGCTATACATCTGGCTAAGAATTCAGCATTTCATTCAAGAACTAAGCACATAGGACTTTGTTATCACTTCATCAAATCACTCTCAAAGGATGAAGTATTAATATTGTAAAAGATCCAGGGTAGCAAAAACCCAACCGACATGTTAACCAAGACAATAACTACGGAAAGAATGAAGTTGTGCTCAACAATTGGTCTTCAAAATTAAGACTGAAAAGATGATCCACACGATTTTCACTAAAATGAAATTGCTCGTACAAAAAATGCAGGATGCCTCAAGGTAAAGCCACATTAGTCTCCAACTGGGAGATTGTTGAGTAGTGGAGCCTAATATTTAGGCTTCACATTTTCTCAAAGTTGGCCTTCCCATTTGAAAGTTTGGAAAGTTTTTTCTTTGCATTTAAGAAATAATATCATGCATTAGCTTTTCTCAAATTTCAAACGCAATTGGAAATGACATTAAATTCCCTGAATGAATTGACACGCAATTTGAGCAAAATTGTCAAAAAGGAGAAAGATTATGTTTCCTAACAATTCTCTATAAATAGGATGCGTAGAATGAAATTGAGAGCGAGATATACAGAGAGTGAGTAGCATTGAGTAGAGAGTTAAAGCGAGAGAAAATTGAGAGATCGTCTCTGCATAGGCAAATAAAATACAGAGGGTGTATTGTTATATTTCTCTTCTTCTCTTGTTGATATAGTGAAAATTGGTGTAGGTTTTGTATGCAGGCATGATTGTCGAATCATGTAAATTCTTGTATTGTACTTTCACTTACTTTTGCTACTTCTTTCTTCTCAGATTAAATTATTTTGTGTCCAACCGATCTGTCAGAATTTGTAGCATCTAATTCCTGACACAGAGGAGTGGGGTTGGATTGGGTGGTATTGGATGGAGTGTATGCGAGGAAGATGAACAATATTAATTTTATTTTTTATTTTTTTCTTGCAGTGTTAACGATCTTGCAGTGTTAACGATCTTAGTGTGACGTCTGCCACTATGCAATTTCGTAAAAGGCATGAAATTGAATACATTGCAATGATGAACATATAATTCATATGAATATTTAGTTGAGTAAATAGTCATGCCAAGAAAATTCAATGACCATTTATTTACATACATAATATACACATTTTATTTTAATGTGAAACTTGTTCAACTTATAAGTGGGGACTAAGTCTAGTACGATTAGGATTATCCCACGCATATGTAAGTAGAATTATTGGACCTCAAATCTATGCGAAGGAAGGAGCAATAATTTGCGCAATTATTGGACTGATGTCTTCATTTATACAAACAAATCCCTAATTATGAAATTTACGGGTTTTGATGAAGATATGGAATTAGATTTATGAAAAAAAGGAAAAAAGAAAAAATTAATGTAGATAATGGTAATAACCATGAAATTCAACATGTGGTTCATGAGCAATGGCATATGTCGATTGATTTAGTAAATCATCTAATGTGCACTAGGCCCATGGTGTAAATAACTTGAATACTTCCCGTGCCAATTTCTCCCCGCCCGATAACTAACACACAGACAATGTCCATCCATTTTTGAGGTATAAGTTTGTACTAACAAAGCTAAAAGGAACCCATGTTTTCTTGCAGTCTGCTAAAAACATTTGCTTTGCCATGGCATTGTCTTCCACCATGATTTTCAGAGTGAAACGGTGTGAGCCCGAACTGGTGGTGCCGGAAAAACCTACACCTCCTGGAATAAAGAAACTCTCCATCATAGATGATCAAGAAGGTTTTAGGTTTAATTTTCCTGTGATGTTTTTCTATAAAAGGAGTCCTTCGATGAGAGGGCAAGATCCAGTTGGAGTCATTCGAGGAGGAGTTGCTAAAGCTCTGGTCTATTACTTTCCTTTAGCTGGTAGGATTGTGGAAGGAGCAGAGAGAAGACTTATGGTTAATTGCAGCGGGGAAGGAGTGTTATTTGTAGAGGCTGATGCAAATGTCATGATTGAGCAGCTTGGTGACAGCGTATTGCCGCCATGTCCATTGAAAGAGGAACTTCTTCACGATGTACCTGGTTCTGAAGGGATCATTGGCTGCCCTCTTTTGCTGATTCAGGTAAGAACTCCAATAAAATTATTAGTCTTCAATATAATTAAGCACTTGAATACTTATTTTTTTACAATCAAAAGTTAATAAAGATAAAAATTGGGAGTAAACTTGGAACTTGCATTTACAAAATGCAAGTATAGTAACAAATTTCGTAATCCAGAAAAATTATTAACATTGTAACATTATGACGGCATGGTCGAGTGGTAAGGCAGGGACTGCGAATCCGTAGTCCTTTGATATCATGCCACTCCGTGAAAATAAGATAAATAAGATGGAGTCTTTGTCATGCTGCAAATAAAAGAACGGAAATTTGCACTTTTCATCTTCATCGTTTGTGAACTGTAACAAATTTATCATCAATTGTTTTTAACATAATTCATCCACAACATTTCAAATATGTAGCAAAATTCACCGTTACATCCATATAGACTATTGAATGACGAATTTTTCATTCTCTTTAAATAAAAAAAAATAAAGTAAAGCATTAAAAATAAATTAATAATAAAAAATTATAAATAGAATCACATAACTTTTTAAAATAGTACAAAAAATATTATCCCAATTTAAAAAATTATATACATGATAACATATAAAAAAAATTTCAAAAAATTCATCTTCTCCTGCCAAACTTAGCCTTTATTTGGCTCAAATTTTAATTAATGTGAGTTAAAGTCAAACAATCAATATTAATCAAATCTTTCATGGGTCCCACAATTTTTGAACTATACATTTCAATTTTTTTTTATCAAAATATACTAAAAATCTAATTTTAATTTCCACTAAATACCCTCTTATCCATCAACTCCTGTCAACCATACATTATCCAATAAAATAATATTACACATACACCAAAAAAAATTCTTATTTTTTAATCATACATTTTCCAAAAAATCATTATTCCAAAATATTTTTTCCCCCCAAATTCATTTGAATGGATATTTCAATTAATGCAAATGCAGGTAACCCGATTCATCTGTGGTGGATTTTCCTTGGGAATCAGAATTAACCACACAATGGCAGACGGCTATGGGATAATGCAATTTCTAAATGCTATTACCGAATTTGTTAAAGGTGCTTCTGCACCATCTATTCCACCAATATGGGAAAGAGAACAATATTTTATTGCAAGATCACCCCCAAGAATTACATGCACACACAATGAGTATGAAGAAATACCATACGCCAAATCTTCCACAAACGTTGTTGATTCAGAAAACTTGGTTCGAACAGCGATTTTCTTTGGTCCTAAGGAGATACAGGTCCTTCGTAATCATCTGATGGAAAAATTTCGTGGGTGTTGAAGATTCGATCTCATCACGGCATGCTTGTGGAAATGCCGCACAATTGCACTTAATCCACCCAATCCAGACGAGAAAGTTCGTCTTTCAGTCACGATGACTGCGCGTGGCATATCAGGCCTACGTTTACCAGCCGGATACTACGGAAATGCATTTACTTTTCCAGCGGCTGTATCCACCGCCAGAATCCTATGCACCAGTCCATTATCATATGCAATTCATTTGATTCAAAATGCAAAGGCTCAAATGACTGAGGAGTACGTTAAATCAGTTTCAGATCTTATGGTGATCAAGAAACGACCAAAATATATAGCTAGCCGGAATTTGATTGTTCCGAACTTTACACTGCAAGGTTTTGATAAGGTTGATTTTGGGTGGGGCAATCCAATTTACGGTGGGATTCCTTTCGCCACTTCAGATTTTGGCGTTTACACGAATTTCAAGAACAGTAAGGGAGAATATGGAGTTGTAATATCCTTATTCTTGCCACCTTTGGCTTTGGAAAAATTCAAAAATGAGGTTAAGAAGATGACTGGTGAGTCAGTAATTCAAAAAATATTATCTTCTTACTGAATATGCAAGGAGAGTTCATTAGTGTCCTAAGAATGTTTCTCCTTTACCTCAAAAGAGAATCCGTTTGGATCTAAAAGTGTATTGTATTGAATTTCAGTTTCTCTATTTGTTTCAATAGTCGATGATTTTATTAGAAAATGGAAAATGATTGATGAAGTGGCACCTATCACCAAACATCACAAATACATAATGATCTAGGACATGTTGGTGATATTGGAGAAATAAGTACTAGTTGAAATAAAACATTTTAATTTCGGATTGGATCCATAAGACCATTCTGAAAAGAGAACGACGAGAGGAACAATACTCACCGCTGTACGACGAATTTCAGTCATTCGAGTTCGTTTAGAACTCAAAAACTGATTTTTAAAGTTTTGGCACTATTTTTGTCAATTCGTTTATTTTTATTTATTTATTTATTTATTTTTTGTAATTTTAGTTTGTTTAAACTTAGTTTTCATTACTTTTAGTTGTTTTAAACTACATTTCCATGTAAGCCCTTATAAATTAGAGGTTAGTTCGTTTTTTTTTTATTATCCAAATTTTGTAATATCAAGGTTTTCGCTTGAATTCATTTTTTTAGTTGCGTCACATAGCAAGTTGGAATTTGATTGTTACAGACTTACCTTTCCCCACTTCAGATTTTGGTGTTTAAATTTGATGTTTGAAATTTATAAGAAGTAACTTCTTAGTCACTCAATAATTCTTGGGACTATCCCTGATCAAATTGTAATATTTGCTTCACCTCATTACTTTTATTAGACTACTGAAAGGGTGTGATTTATTTCAAGTCCAGGGTAAAAATAAATCATATATTGATACTTATTTTAAGTATAAATCTCCCAAAACATGTTATATATGTCTCTCCGACCACTTATTATTTTTTCTATCTGTCTTGTTAAAAAAATATCACTTATCTTTCTTGTGCGTTTTGATCACGAGAAAAATTGATATGTAGCAATAAATCTTTTACACGAATTTAAAGAACAATAAGAGTGATGGCTGTGTAAAAATTCAAAAAAGTAGATAAATTGTGAGCCAATATTTCCAGAAGGTAAGCTATATATTGGTCAAATGATACATTTCAATATTCCCTCCCCCGACCCCCACCCCCTTTTTGCCCCGTTTGGTTTTGCTCATATTTTTAGTATATTTTGAGAAATTAATAAAATGTATTGTTGAAAAGTTGTGAGTATCATGGAATGTATAGACTTAAATTTTTATCATTTTTCTTAGCTAAACCAAGCATAGGAAGCCTGGCACATTTTTCCTTAGTCGTCATTGAAGGACCCTTATTCGCCATGCCAAAACTATGTGAGTTATTGGTATAACACAAGTTGTATATATAAGAAGTTACTTATAATCTCCTTGTAATGCCACAAAAAAGAAAAAAAAAAAAAAAGATTTGACAAAATGTGTAGATAATAAGTGAGTGTATACTAGTTTTACGTGTATGATTCAATTTAAAATTTAACTTTTAACTTCTCCTTATAAATACCATATATGAAACACCCACCTAGATTTTATTTATTTATTTATTTTTATTTTTTTGTGTGTGTGTTTGTGTGTTTCTCCTTCTACTTCTAGTTCTAAGAGATTACATTTGAATCTAAAAGTGTGTTATATGATCAATTTCAATGTCTAAATTTGTTTCACGGATACCCCTCATGATAGATTTTCGACATTTAGGCTAGACTGGTACGTAATGAGATAACATTGGAAACCAGCTCAGTGAAGATATAGAACTTAACCAGACAAATGATTAGTTTACAAAATAAGAAATTTTTAAATAAACCACGTTGTCTTGAGTGTAAATTGTAGCAAGGAAAATGAAGAAGTTGATAAGGTTTTAGTGCTGAATCACAAATCACAAATGATAGAAAATGACAGGAAATTTGATGGTAGACACATGTGGTCTAACTGTAATCTAAAATATGTGGAAATGAAAATATCATTGACTCAACTCCCATGTGATGTATTAGTTCTTAAAACGTGTTTTTCAAACAAATGGTGATGATCATGTAGATCAATTCGGGGCCCAGTAGTAGCACAAGAAAAGCAATCAAATTTAAGAACTCAATTAAAGCACGTGAATTGTTGCACGGCAAAATATAGAGCATGTTTGGGTGGATAAATAGGAAACCTCTAGAACATGATTTAGCAAAGTGCTAATTTGAGATAAATTTTAAAAAAGTTTCTAAGAATTGAGTTTAATCGTTCATTCCATGGGACTTAAAATTTTTTATCAACTTTTAAAAATACATTTCGTCAGCTTTAATCGAAATTTGCTTTGTCAAACAACCCCTATGTAATGGAAATCTCTCGATAAATCTTGATTACAGGCTCAAAAAACAATCAACAATCTTTAACTTCCAAATTTAATGTGCCAATGGCCCCCTACCCGCCCCTTGCATCTCTAAGAAAGAGCATTTTCACAGTATAAATTGATACTCAGTGCCCTAAAACTATCCAAGCTAAGCTATCTTGAAAGCAAGGAAAATGAAAAAGTTGATAAGGTTTTCGTGCTGATCAATCACAAATCACAAATGATAGAAAATGACAGGAAATTTGATGGTATTCACATGTGGTCTAACCGTAATCTAAAATATGTGGAAATGAAAATATCATTGACTCAACTCACATGTGATGTATTAGTTCTTAAAACGTGTTTTTCAAACAAATGGTGATGATCGTGTAGATCAATTCGGGGCCCAGTAGTTGATCAAGAAAAGCAATCAAATTTAAGAACTCAATTAAAGCACGTGAATTGTTGCACGGCAAAATATAGAGCATGTTTGGGTGAATAAATGGGAAACCTCTGGAACATGATTTAACAAAGTGCTAGTTTGAGATAAATTTTAAAAAGTTTTTAAGAATTGAGTCTAATCGTTCATTCCATGGGACTTAAATTTTTTTTTTTATCAACTTTTAAAAATACATTTCGTCAGTTTTAATCAAAATCTGCTTTGTCTAACAACCCCTATGTAGCGGAAATCCCTCGATAAATCTTGATTCTGGGCTCAGAAAACAATCAAAACTCTTTAACTTCCAAATTTAATGTGCCAATGGCCCCCTACCCGCCCCCTACATCCCTCGAAGAAAAAGCATTTTCACAGTATAAATTGATACTCAGTGCCCTAAAACTATCCAAGTTAAGCTATCTTGAAAGCAAGGAAAATGAAGAAGTTGATCAGGTTTTAGTGGTGAATCACAAATCACAAATGATAGAAAATGACACGAAATTTGATGGTAGACACATGTGGTCTAACCATAATCTAAAATATGTGGAAATGAAAATATCATTGACTCAACTCCCATGTGATGTATTAGTTCTTAAAACGTGTTTTTCAAACAAATGGTGATGATCGTGTAGATCAATTCAGGGCCCATTAGTAGCTCAAGAAAAGAAATCAAATTTAAGAACTCAATTAAAGCACGTGAATTGTTGCACGGCAAAATATAGAGCATGTTTGGGTGAATAAATGGGAAACCTCTAGAACATGATTTAACAAAGTGCTAGTTTGAGATAAATTTTAAAAAGTTTCTAAGAATTGAGTTTAATCGTTCATTCCATGGGACTTAAATTTTTTTTTTATCAACTTTTAAAAATTCATTTTATCAGTTTTAATCAAAATCTGCTTTGTCTAACAACCCCTATGTAGCGGAAATCCCTCGATAAATCTTAATTTCGGGCTCAAAAAACAATCAAAACTCTTTAACTTCCAAATTTAACATGCCAATGGCCCCCTACCCGCCCCCTGCATCCCTTGAAGAAAAAGCATTTTCACAGTATAAATTGATACTCAATGCCCTAAAACTATCCAAGCTAAGCTATCTTGAAAGCAAGGAAAATGAAAAAGTTGATAAGGTTTTAGTGGTGAATCACAAATCACAAATGATAGAAAATGATAGGAAATTTGATGGTAGACACATGTGGTCTAACCATAATCTAAAATATGTGGAAATGAAAATATCATTGACTCAACTCCCATGTGATGTATTAGTTCTTAAAACGTGTTTTTCAAACAAATGGTGATGATCGTGTAGATCAATTCGGGGCCCAATAGTAGCTCAAGAAAAGCAATCAAATTTAAGAACTCAATTAAAGCACGTGAATTGTTGCACGGCAAAATATAGAGCATGTTTGGGTGAATAAATGGGAAACCTCTAGAACATGATTTAACAAAGTGCTAGTTTGAGATAAATTTTAAAAAGTTTCTAAGAATTGAGTTTAATCGTTCATTCCATGGGACTTAAAAAACATTTTTTTATCAACTTTTAAAAATTCATTTTATCAGTTTTAATCAAAATCTGCTTTGTCTAACAACCCCTATGTAGCGGAAATCCCTCGATAAATCTTGATTTCGGGCTCAGAAAACAATCAAAACTCTTTAACTTCCAAATTTAATGTGCCAATGGCCCCCCACCCGCCCCCTGCATCCGTCGAAGAAAAAGCATTTTCACAGTATAAATTGATACTCAGTGCCCTAAAACTATCCAAGCTAAGCTATGTTGAAAGCAAGGAAAATGAAGAAGTTGATAAGGTTTTAGTGGTGAATTACAAATCACAAATGATAGAAAATGACACGAAATTTGATGGTAGACACATGTGGTCTAACCATAATCTAAAATATGTGGAAATGAAAATATCATTGACTCAACTCACATGGGATGTATTAGTTCTTAAAACGTGTTTTTCAAACAAATGGTGATGATCGTGTAGATCAATTCGGGGCCCAGTAGTAGCTCAAGAAAAGCAATCAAATTTAAGAACTCAATTAAAGCACGTGAATTGTTGCACGGCAAAATATAGAGCATGTTTGGGTGAATAAATGGGAAACCTCTAGAACATGATTTAACAAAGTGCTAGTTTGAGATAAATTTTAAAAAGTTTCTAAGAATTGAGTTTAATCGTTCATTCCGTGGGACTTTTTTTTTTTTTTTTTATCAACATTTAAAAATACATTTCTTCAGTTTTAATCAAAATCTGCTTTGTCTGACAACCCCTATGTAGCGGAAATCCCTCGATAAATCTTGATTCCGGGTTCAGAAAATAATCAAAACTCTTTAACTTCCAAATTTAACGTGCCAATGGCCCCCTACCCGCCCCCTGCA